TCTACCTCCTGAGTAGCTGAGATTAGAGGTATAGCCACCACCAGGCTCATCATAGCTAAAATGCCTTTTACATTATTTAGGTTTTACTTTGTCATAATTGTGAAATGTCATATAGGATCCCATATTTCTTATCATCTTAATCAATTTTTAATGGCTATTTTAAGTCGGCTTTAAAAACCACACTGTCGATCTAGTTTGGCCGTTGTTACCAATCTATTCTAATATTTTCTCATTCTGATTTTTCAGTTTAATTATAGTTCCCATGAAAGCTATGATAGGTAGAGAGTTACTTTCATTTGTAGCTTTTATTATCCTTTTTAGACTTTGTATTGGTATTTATATCTTCTGATCAAGAAACTATATTTAGCTATTTTGTTTCAATCTTTGGCTATTATAGTACAATAATTATGATGTATATAATACCCTTTATTTCCTTCCCATTGATATCTCTGACAAACATGAGAATATGATATTGCTTTGTTTTCAATGCTCTTTTCTTAGTTTTTTTTTTGTTTGTTTTTTGATTAAAAGTTGTATTTGTTTGCTTGTTTGTTTTACCAGTCCTGGGGCTTGAACTCTGGGCCTGGTGCTGTCCCTAAGCTCCTTTTGCTCAAGACTAGCCACCAAGGCCCAGCATTTAAAAGTTTTAATTTTGCAGAGCGCCAGTGGCTCATGCCTGTAATCTTTTTTTTTTTTTTTGGGTCCGGTCATGGGGCCTGAACTCTGGGCCTGGGCGCTGTCCCTCAGCTCTTCAGCTCAAGGCTAGCACTCTACCACTTGAACCACAGCGCCACTTCCGGCTTTTTTCTTTTTGCTTATGTGGTGCTGAGGAATCGAACCCAGGGCCTTTGGCATGAAAGACATGCGCTCTACCACTGAGCCACCTTCCCAGCCCTCATGCCTGTAATCTTAACTACTTAAGGAGGCTGAGATCTGAGGATCACATTTTGAAGCAGCCCAGGCAGGAAAGTCCCTGAGAGTCTTACCTCCAGTTAAATACTAGAAAAACTGGAAGTGACTGTGCTCAAAGTGGTAGAGCATTACCCTTGAGCGAAAGAGCTCAGGGAAAACACCCAGGCCCTGAGTTCAAGCTCCACAACCAACAACAATAACAAAAAAGTTTTTAATTTGAGAAAATTATATATTCATACACTCGTTCTAAAAGAGAGTCTTTCTCAGTTTACCCCAGTGGTAAAGTATTGCAAAACTAGAGTATAGTGGCATAAACAGATATTAACTTTGAGGCAGTCAACTTAAGGAACAGTTCCATCCAATGTAAGCATCCCTCATGCTGCCCACTGACAGCTGTACCTACTTCCCTCCCATGAACTCTCCCTCTCCACTAATCATGTCATTCCATATCACCTTAAGATTGGTTTTTAATTCATTCTACATAGTCCTGTGGAAATCAGCCCAGGTTTTTGCTTGTATCAGTAGTTTATTTCAGGCTAGGCATGGATATATTGTGGTTTGTTTAATCATCCACCTGTTTAAGGTGGATGGTTGTTTCCAGTTTATTGCAATTTATTATGAGTAAAGCTGCTATCTAAATGTACCGGTTTTGCATTTCTCTGGGATATGCTCAATTGTTAAAGAACAATTGTTGAGTTGATATTTACATGAAAGAAATGATGACTGTACCATTTTAAGTTCCCATAGTATGATGTCCAGTTTTCTCCTTCCCCCTAACATTTAGTATTGCTGCTAGTTTAGCCATTTTGTGTGATGCTGATAGTCCTTAATTACGTTTCCCGAAGTGAACAAACTATCCATAATTCTTCTTTGATGAATAAAGCTTCTCAACTTTTGCATGTTTACTTTTTATGAATTTTTAAATTGTTATTGTGAAGGTGATATACAGAGGGGTTATGGTTACGTAAGTCAGGTAAAGAGTACATTTCTTGGCCAGGCGCCAATGGCTCACGCCTGTAATCCTAGCTACTGAGGAGGTTGAGATCTGCGGATCGTGGTTCAAAGCCAGCCTGGGCAGGAAAGTCCATGAGATGCTTATCTCCAATAAACCACTAAAAAACCAGAAGTGGTGCTGTGGCTCAAGCGTTAGAGCGCTTGCCTTGAGCTGAAGAGTGCAGAGACAGCACCCAAGCCCAGAGTTCAAGCCCCATGACTGACCAAAAAAAAAAAAAAAAAAAAAGGAAAAATCCTCATCCATCCATCAGGTTTCTACTGAGAAGGGACTATGGGGAGGGGTCCTTAAGTTGGAGGGAGCCTGGAACATAGGGCTGCAGAAGAACCTGGGGTCAGGAGAGAACCTCAACTCCCAAAAGTTGAACTACTCATTTTATATTATGTTTCTCCTGTATAACTTGGTTATTTCTAATTTTAAATGTATTCAGTTAGTTTTTATAATGCTGGCTCAGTAATATTTTCTACAGAATTTTAATCTTTTTTAGGAGAATCTTTTTTTGTAATGGTTGCTATGGTTTGGACCTTAAATGTCTCTTAAAGGCCCATAATGTTAAGGCTTAATCTGTAGCTTAATGCAATTAGGAGGTGGTGGACCTCTGTAGAAGGGGTCAAATGGGAGGAAGTTATGTAACTGGGAGATTTCCTAGCCCTTAAAGGGGACATTAAGACCCCAGCTCTCCCTCTATTTCCCACCACTATGAGGTAAACAGTCCTACCTTCCTCTGCACTTCTCCATGGAGTATAGTGTTGCCATAGGCCTGAGTGACAAAGAACTAAAACCTTGGGAACAATGAGCCAAATATCTCTTCTTCACAGTTCTTTATCTTACATGTTTTGTCAGTGGTAGAAAATGTATAGCTAACACAGTGGTAAAATATATATAACATAAAATTTGCCATGTAGGCAGGTACCAGTGGCTCACACCTGTACTCCTAGCTATTCAGGAGGCTAAGATCTGAGGATCACGGTTCAAAGCCAACCTGGGAAGGAAAGTCCATGACACTCTAAAGCTGGAAGTAGCGCTGTGGCTTGTGGCTCAAGTGGCAGAGTGCTAGTCTTGATCAAAAGAAGCTCAGGGACAGTGCATAAGACCAGAGTTCAAGCCCCAGGACCAGCAAAAAAAAAAA